TTGTTCCGTTCCTTGCATGGTGGAAGAATAATGGTTAGCTAGGTTGGGGGATTGATTCTCTGTTGAGTTTCTTTCGTATGGTTCATCTAATTATATCATAATTAGACGGTAAAACTAAACTAGTTGAAAAAAAAAAATAGTTGATCTAAAGTAAGGGTGTTCGTCTAGTTTTTATGAACTTCTGTTTGTTTCTAGAATGCAATAGGGTTTTCGTCTGGTATACTCTAATTTGTTAACCGTGTGTTACGTACGTTGCTGATAATATATGTTTGTTTATACCGGAAAAATATAAAAGATACAAGTTTGTGCGTAATTTATATTTTCACACTAGAGTCACAATTATACTAATTCATTAATAAGTGGGTAGATCAATTTGAAACAAAAACACATTCAATCGGGCCACTGCCTCCTTTCCTACTTTTATGTGAGGGTGGGTTTATATAAATCTTGTTTCCATGATTAAATTTGTGTAGAGAAATGTGTAAAACAAATCCGAAAGCATATATGCGGGAGCTATTCATTTAAAATAATATCTGTCACATATCTCATACTTATAAAGTAGCTACTGAAAATTATATTATATATAATTTAAATGAAACACACTAAACTTTATGGATAACTCGAACCAAAATCGTCACCTTAGTACATTTGTGAACACGGCGTATTTGTATCATCTCAGTACATTTGTCTACCACACAAACCAAATAACTGATCTGATCCAAAAACCATGCTTGTAATGTAATTAACGAGTACAAATGTTGGGTAATTGGTAAAGAGTACGTAATTGAGCTTCCTTAATCTGGAATCCAAAGTAGCTAGGTGGAGAGACAAATCATATGCAACATTACATAGACAATCAACTCATCAATGTAGGTTCCTGGTAGTGGGCTAACCTAATTATCACCACCTCCCCAACAAACAAAATAAGAAAGGAAGGTCCAATGCTCATCCGGCCGACCATGAAATGAATCCACCACAAGGTGTAAATGTAAAATAACATAACATGTTATATATTTTGGACCCACCCCAAAAGAACACACATATAGAGGTTTCCAGTCGGCAAGGTAATAATTATTGTCTGTTGTGTTTTCTGACAGCTTATCCAACTTGATCTATCTCTTCCTATCTCCATTTTTCTGTCTTCTTCACATGTTTTAAGAAAAAACCACCGTTCCCTTTCCAAACACAAGAGGGAAGAAGAAACAGATCTCAATCCCATTGTACGTGTTGTGTTTACAATCCTTCTTATCCTTATGGGTCTTACCTAAGCTCAGCAAATTCTTACATATTGTTATTTATTTATGGTTGGAAAAAATTTCTCATGCGTGAAAAGGTGATTAGAACAAAAATAGTCGATAGTTTTGAAAAAATGGATACAACTCGCACCATTACAAAGAAAAATAACGATCGATTGGGAAATGGAATGGACATCAGGAAGACTATTATCTTATCAATGTTGGATCAAGATTTCATCACTGGAAAAAATTTCAGTACTATTTAAGTAACAACTCTGCCAACACTTAAAACATTTTTATTATCAGGTGCAACGTAACATACAAACTGCTCACAATGTGTAAGTGGTATGTGTGCAATGGAACCAGAAACTTGTGCCACTTAACCAAACTGTTCATTTGACACGAGTTCCATGGGTGAAGGGTCAAATAATTTCATCACACCATTATATATATATATATGCGATGCTCAAAATGAAACGTATGTGGCCAGAAATTATCTTATCATCGGCGCCTCACTTCACTTCACTTCACTTTAGGGTATGCTTTAGCTTTCATTAGATTTCTTTGTCTTCCACTTTCTATCCCTCTATACGTGTTACCATCAAATTCATCACTCTATCATCGATTTCTGGTGTTTTTGCTTCTACTTTTACACCTAACCCTCTCTCTCTCTCTCTCTCTCTCTCTCTCTCTCTCTCTCTCGATTTTCTAATTAAAGCTAATTCCACATGCCTAATCTTCTGGATTAAATCCCTCTAATATTATATTAAGATGCCTTCTTCTCCATTTTGGGAAAGGTGGCAGGCAATATATATACATTGATGCTAGCTAGTTATAGTTTGCATGGGGAGTTGTATTTTGTTTAATAATAAGCTTCATTTTGCTTTCCCCTTTCTTCTTGCCATTGCTTTCCCCCGTTAGGTTGGTTGTTAGTCTCAAAGTTAGAAACTAGAATATGATAAATATTCCAGTTTTTAATATAATTTCAATCAACATCTTTTTAATATTGACATTAGGATGTCATCCCGTATCGCTCTTAAAATTCATAAGTATTGTAAGTGCGAGATAATAGTTTCGAAAATAATTCATACACACTACATTCGATAATTGTGAATTGATATCACGAATTGATAATGCTACCGCCCCACATACAACAATACATGGATGGAGTTTACTTCTTTGATGGACATGCATTGAGTTATTTAATAAAATCTCCTTCATTTTCAGAAAAGATCCATTTCCCTGTTTTATATTTTCCAATTTCAATCATAATTGTAGTTTTCACACACCCCGTGTCCCTCCATTTTTCCTAAACTATCAATTCTTGTAATATTAAAATTGCATCTCGTTTTCAGGAAACTTCATTTACTTGCATCGCTAAAACAAAACCAAAATCACCTATCAGCAACCGTCACCACCAAACATGGCTTCTTAATTATTCTAGTTTTATCTGTCAATTTTCACCACCGACCTCTTACATTTTCTAATTATATGTCATTTTTATTAATCACCAACTTCTTAACAACACAATATGGTGGTGTGGTAGCCGCGCGGAAGACTACTAAACTTATTTTTCTTAATGACAGAGAAGTTCGACAAATATATTTCAAACTAGATAAATATCTGAAAAATTCAGAAAGCTGATGATTCGATCATATATCTCTATCCATCATCGACAAAGAATTACTAGAACAATAAACCGTAAAAGTCAAACTCATAGTAATTAAAACACTATGCAAACTCTCATGCATTGTCATTTGAACTAAATGTTTGATAAACTAAAACATATAACAATTCATAAACTTGGGAAACAAGGAGTCTATGTATGGCTATTCTATCGCCATGTGTCCAGCTGATAATCTTTTTTCATAATACAATATTATTGCCCTGTTAATCTTTTCTTTTCTTTTTTTTCTTAGGTTGATGTACCCAAAAAAATTATATTAATCATTAAGTTACCCAAAATATCTCCTTTCCATAGTGTCGACAATATGTTACAAAACTGCTTTTGTTTATTATATCAATTAGTCTCCTGACAATACAAGCTAATTTTATTAGTGATGGAGATGATAATAATTAATAAGTAAGCTGTCTGACTATAGTTATGCTGCCACGTAATTTCTTCCTGTTCTTAATCAGCCTCGCCCTTTGGTGTTTGATGAGATGATATCTTATTCTAAGTCTTATATTCGTAGATGATATGTTTCATTAATACTTTGGTAATCATTGGAGTTGTTAGCTTAAAAATATGCTATTGCTTTAGATAAAATGTTTTAGGAGTTTTTTTTAATTATCCCGACACCAACGAATCACTCGTTATTAAATTCTAACCGGTAGATGAATGAATTGTAATATTACTTAAAATTTTCGATGCATTGGTATATGATCGATCAAGATTACAAAACTTTTTTTTTTTAGGGAAAGATTACTAAACTTTTGATTTAATGGTAATTGTTTGAGTAGACATCTTCTAATTGTCTACTAACCCTACCATGCTTATCATCAATTTTTTTCTTTTTTTGGTAGAGATTATCATCAATTCACATTCAATTAATATATCTTTACAAAACAATACTAATTGGGTTCTCTCCTTTCCCATAATAGAGATAAGGCCAATCTATCCTTGCCAAAATCCCATAATTTAGGACAGCAATTATCATAGATATTTTTATAGAAAAGGAAACAAAAAAATATATTTCAAAAGACAAGACAAGGGCATATGGGTTGTATTTTGGTTTGAATCAACCTTCAATTGGTTCAAAAATATATAGCAATGAACAGTTGCACATGTTCAACATGGCAAGATCCTTGGAGAAGTATCAGGATATGTATAGATGTCAGAAGATCAAAATTATATCCTAAAATATGTTACAAAATTTATTTTCTCTACTTCCTTATTGGCATTTTATTTATTTATTACATAAAATAAATTCGATGGGATGGGAACATATGTTCCTTAGTACTTAATACTTATTACATTCATTTTCTTTTTATTTATTTATGATTATGGGGTCCAAAATATGTTGCTACATTTAATGACAAACATGCATTGTATCATTTTTCAAGTTTTAAATGGATGATGGTATACATATATTGAAGTGTTCTCCAACCACCAATCCTCTCCCATTTGAATACCAAGATAAGACCTCTTCTAAGTTTCCTTGTCAAACTCAGTATGATAATAACATTATCATCACTCAATAAAAATTCAATCGTTAATCACACTTTTAACATGACGTTGAAGATCAAGCCATTCTGCAATGCAAGAAGGCAACTAGATATAAAGTCATATAAACATTCGTGTGCTAAGGTCAATATCACTCACTCTAAGATAAAGCGTAAATATAACGAGAAAGTTTAAAACAACTACCTCAAAATCAAATTGGACTTCTTTCAGGGTGATCAGGCTTTCATCTTGACTTCTAAGTTATAATCATGTTATGTTTTTGTTCATAATGACTCGTAAACTTATGACCTAGACTAAAGTCGTATATTCGATCTCTCTAAGGTATAACTATCATAACTCTATCAAGACTATGGTTCAATGTGTTTAGTCATCTTGTTTATCACCCGCAACTTGCTCTGCATGTCATAGTCCAGCTGAAAAGGATCAAACAACCATAGTTGACCTCCCCCAACCCAAAGCTTTTCATCCCATACATACACACATATACATACGTCAGCACCAGTGAGTAGACAGAGACACCGTCCTAGAAACAGCGTCAAAAGAAGAAAGAAAGTAGAAGAAAAACCTAAACCCAACCAAAAACCCACAGTCAAATTTGAAAATTTCCCTTATATAGTAAGCCGTTGTGTTGTTAGGTCCTAAATACTAGTCGTAAGTAGTGGCGTACAGAAATCCGTGTGGGCGGGGCGATTATATCACCATCACCATCATATAAATAGAGAAAGAAGAGAAACTCTGGCGATTGAAACAGAGAGGCAGATTGCAGCAAAAAGAGGAAGAGAGAAAAGGAAAAAACAGAGGAGGGAGAGAAAGTTACCCTTTTCCCCTTCCTTTTGTTCTCTCCCATTTTCCAGACTTTTAAAACCATAAATCCCAGCTGGGTATCGAGTTAATAGTTACAATCCAACACCACTGTGAAAAAGTTTCGATCTTGGCTGTTTTTTACTCCTTTTGGGGGGAAGAGAAAGAGGAGCTGTCTCGCTCTATATAGGAACAAAGGATGAGAGCTTTATCCATTTCCAGCTAGCTACGATAGCTAGTTAGTTTTATCCCTAAAGCTTCTGGCTTCTGCTGTTTATCTTGTACGTAACTCTTTCTCTTTCTCTCTCAGTAAATTCTGGATATGGGGGTTTGATGATCTGTGTGTTCTAGTTCTCATCTCCCTCGAATTCTCAGCTGGCAATTCTGTGCCCAGAGCTCATTTCTGCTAGTACCTCCTCCGTTTTCTGTTCTTTAGATGTGATTACAATTACATTTGTTTCTTGTTAGCTTTGTTAATGTTTATGGAAGATGGTAATTAACGACAAGAATAAAAGATGTCATCATCTTTATATCTGTGGTCTACGTCTTTTCCCTTCTGGGTTTTGGTTGGTATCTGAGAAAAAGATTTTTAAGAGGAAGGAAATGAAGCCGGGGGAATTTTTGTGGTCTAAATACCTTTTGCTTCACTTCTCTCTTCTGGGTTGTGTTTGGTTGCTGAGAAAGTTAGATTCTTTGGAAGATAAATTACTTTCCCATGTAGAGGAACTAGAAGCAAAATTAAAAAGCTTTTCCGCCATCCTTCATTCCTCTTCTTCCCAGGACCAACTTGCACATAGATTAGAGAAGAAAATGGTAATCCAACTTGAGGACCCACTTGTGTTTGTTGGGTTGATTAATCAGTTCAATTTGCCATACCTCTCTCTCTCTCTCTCAGCAACCAAACAAACCCCAGAAAGTGGAAACTGCTAATTAGGAAAATGGCAAGAGTCTCCATCCCTAGTTGTAGAGGTTGAAGACCCTAAACCTCATCTTTTTATTAATTTCTCTCTTGTCATTACCTCATTTGGTTGCTTCCAAAACATTCTGGATTGCACCATTGGAGAATTTCTCTTCTTTGAATATTCGATCTATGATCTATAGTACTAGTACTAGACTTAGTGGGTATGTCACAAGATTTTCAGACTCAAATATAAAAATTCTTAGATCCTCACCTTTCTGACTCACTGGGAATCTTCTGACTCAGATAACGTCTTGTGCTTTGTATTAGGTGTATAAAAGGAGACACCATATACATTCTTGATCAGCAGTTCAATTTCTCTCAAAATGGGGCATCTTTCTGCAATGTTCAAGCTTGCACGGTCTCTCTCTATGAAGAAAAGCAAGAACTTTTGTGGGGATGGGGATAATGGTGGAGGTGGTGGCAGAGAGGCCGCGAAAGCCATGGAGAAAGAAGCTAAGAAGAATGAGTTGATCTTGAGATCGTCTGGTTGTGTTAATGTTGCTGGTTCCAATAACTTGGCCTCGTTGTTCTCGAAGAGGGGAGAGAAGGGTGTTAATCAGGATTGCTTCATCGTTTGGGAGGTTAGTGAAAATTCTCTGTTTCTAATTGTCTGGATTTTTAACAGTGTAGTATAAGATCTAGTCTCGAATATTTCAGCGTACTACATTGAACATAATCAATGGATTGTTTAAGATTGAACTTTCAGATTTCTGATGATCTAGGTTGTTTGTCGTTGAAATCCTGATAATCCTCGAATATCAGGTTTTGATAGACTTTTTTTTTTTTTTTTACTAAGGACATAGATAAGTCTCACACCGACTCAGACATTATTGAGATTATCTGGTTCTTCTTTTGCTGATATAAAGTGTGACATTTCTTGTCTTAGGAATTCGGTTGCCAAGAGGACATGACATTCTGCGGGATATTCGACGGGCATGGACCATGGGGACATTTTGTGGCCAAGAAAGTTAGGGAATCACTGCCATCACACCTGCTGTGCAACTGGCAAGAAGCCTTAGCTGCGGCTGAATCCTCTTCGGTCGATTATCTTCTTGACGAAATCGACTTGGGATCTGATAAAAAGCTCCAGAGATTCAACATGTGGAAGCATTGCTACTTAAAGACATGTGCTGCTGTGGATCAGGAGCTGGAGCAGCACCGCAGGATTGATTCCTTCCACAGTGGCACCACCGCCTTGACCATCGTCAGACAGGCAAGTGAAATGGGGTTTCATACTTTCGATAAAACACTTAGCTGGTCATTAACGAATCGTCTTTATGTATCCCATTGATCTCCAAAATCGAGCTGGACATCTTAACATCGAGTTCAGTGATCTATGCCGGTTTCATGTTACCATTTTGTTTCTTTGTTTACAGAGTTCTAAGACTATGTCCTTGTTCCTTATGTATACAGGGAGAGTTGCTTTATATAGCCAATGTGGGAGATTCTAGAGCTGTTTTGGCCACATCAGAAGATGGAATTTTGGTGCCTGTCCAGCTTACTGTAGACTTCAAGCCCAGCCTACCTCGTTAGTTTCTGCCTTCTCAGCCTCTGCCTCTATATTTTTTCTTCTAGGGTTTACAGATTATTGAATACATGTCTGAAAAGTCGTTATTCCCCTTGTCTTGGGTTGTTGCAGAAGAGGCAGAGAGGATAGTGGAATGCAAGGGCAGAGTGTTCTGCCTCGGCGACGAGCCAGGGGTCCATAGGGTCTGGCTACCGGATGAAGAATCGCCAGGGCTCGCAATGTCTCGAGCTTTCGGAGACTACTGCATCAAGGATTTCGGTCTCATCTCCGTGCCCGAAGTGACCCAGAGGCACATTTCCAGTAAAGACCAGTTCGTGATCATGGCGACGGATGGAGTGTGGGACGTGGTGTCGAACCAGGAAGCTGTGCAGATCGTATCGTCGGTGACGGACAGGTCGAAGGCGGCCAAGTGCCTGGTGAAGGCCGCGATGAAGGCCTGGAGGCGGCGGAGGAGAGGGATTGCCATGGATGACATCTCTGCTGTTTGCTTGTTCTTGCATTCTCCCCCTCCACCTCCTCCTTTTGCCGCCACAAAGATGGGTTGAGACAAAAATTGGAGATTCTGTTCTGTTTTGTAAATTGGGCCACAAAAGAGGGTAGTCGTTGCTTTCCGTGGGTCTCTTTTAAGTTTTATGGCCAACTACTAGACTTCGTAGGAAAACCAACCAGTCTCAAGAACATATCAGACTGCCCAGAATATGAAAAGGGTCACCTCAAAAAACACAATTACAAGCCGGTTTCAACGAGAATTGAAAGAGAACAAGCCGCTGACAAATCCAGGACACCTTTACCTTGTCGAGTAACCAAAATAGTTTTGGCCGTGATCGGATAACCCAAATCGGCGGCGACGAAGTGAAGAACTGACCCACCGGGCTTTTACTCCACATCTTCGCTACTTCGTCGATCACTGTCTGTTGGAGCTGGAGTACTCTGTCTAGGGCTGCAAACGAGCCGAGTTGAGTCGAGTTTTTGCTTTGCTTGAGCTCGGATCGTTTATAAATTCTTTAGCTCGAGCTCGGCTCGAACTCGAATTTTGATCATCCAGCTCGAGCTCGAGCTCGACTCGATTAAAAATAATCCAGCTCAAGCTCGGCTCGATAGAGCTCGGTAAAGGCTCATTACACAGCTTGTCAAGCTGAGTACAAGTTCGGCCCAAGACAAGCTCGATTTGAAACAATTCCTGCTAAAAAAATGTGTACAAATAAGAACGTTAGAAATTAAAAATGATAAAAAGAACACTAGAAACTAAAAATAACATCTAACTTCCATACACATCCTTTTTTTTTGTTAATGGCGAAATCAATTATAGTTTAAAAAGAAACGACAAAAATGTCGACGGAAGAAAGGAACAAAAGAAGAGTAATTAACAAGATAATTTTCATGTTCAGAAGAGTAATTAATCCTTTCACAAGTTTTAAACAAGGCAGCTCGCGAGTTTAGCTCAACAAGCCACCGAGTCAAGCTAGCTCACGAGCTTATCAAGCCGAGCATTGCCTAGCTCAAACTTGGCTCGTTTACTAACGAGCCGGCTTGTTGCATAATGAGTCGAGTGTCGAACGAGTTTTTTCCGATTCAAACGCCCAGTTGCTCGCGAGCGGCTTGGCTCATTTGCAGCCCTAACTCTGTCCACCAAGTCGTCAGACACACTGTAGTAGGAAAATCGAATTATCCTCAGCAATACCAAAAAGGTGAGACCTAAAGACGGTCATTGAGACATCGACGACGTCAATACCCATGGGCCATGACCAATAAGCACGATAAAAGGTTGTTATAAACGAGCTGCAATGGACGGGAAATCATCGGAATCGAGAAAGCAAGAATACGAAAGCGAGAATCGGAAACATGACACACGATTTACGTGGTTCACTAACACGATGTGTGTTAGCTAGTCCACGGGCGAGAGAGAGTCAGTTTCAATATATCGAGGAGATTACAGATTACAGAGGAGATGCAGAGTATTTATATTTCTCCATGTGGGTCTAAACCTAATCCAATCTGGTAAAGAAAACGGTTACAGACAAGGCCCAGAACCCGAACAGCGAGACCCCCGACTATTCCAGTCGTAGCGGCTGATAGTCTGATTCAAGTCACATCGACAAATCTCCACCTTAACTTGAATCCCCTTCCTCTGAAATCTCTGATGTACTATGCTCCTTCTCTCTCTCTCCCGCCATCAATGCCCCGTAGGGCGGGGTCACCCACTCAAGACATTCAGCAAGTCCAAGCAGTGTTGGAACTTGCCATGTGGAACCGGCTTCGTGAATATATCAGCAGGATTATCCGCGGTGCCAACCTTCTTCACCTTAATCCTCTTCTCTGTCCTCAATAAATGATACATCACGTCGATGTGCTTAGTCCTCTCATGGTGGACTTGATCCTTGGCCAAGCATATTGCACTCAAACTGTCGCAATACACCACTGCCTGATCATGATGTAGACCCAGATCACCAACCAGTCCCATTAACCATATTCCCTCCTTAGCAGCTTCTGTCAACTCCATATACTCAGCCTCATTATTAGACAATGTCACCACCGACTGCAGAGTTGCCTTCCAGCTCACTACAGACATGTACTCCTTCTCATCTAGGGGTGGGCATTCGGTCGATTCGGTTTCGACCGAACCGAAATTATGAATACCGGGTCCCCGAATTCTCCCAAACCTCAAACCGAATTCGAACCGAATTATAATTCGGTTCGGTCGGTTTAAACCGAATTATAATTCGGTTCGGTTCGGTTTTTCACACAAAACCGAATTTGTTAAACTATTTGTATCTTCTCACTTTTAAATTATTTTTACCCCTAATATAAACAATAAATATGTAATTATATGCATCATCAATGATAAAATCAAACTTTTCAACACATAAGTCATAAAATATTTCAAATATTTAAGTCTAAAAACAACTACAAACATAAAAATCCATCATTTGAACTTGTAATTATAGTATTTCGGTTTTTCGGTCGGAACTTCGGAAATTCGGTTCGGTTGAGAGAACCATGGTTTCCGAACTATCCATATTTTCCTTCCGAATTCCGAACCGAATAGCATTAATTCGGTTTCGGTTCGGTTTAATTCGGTTTCGGTTCGGTTCGGGTTTACCGAACCGGTTGCCCACCCCTATTCTCATCCTCTGAATGCGGTGCATAAGCTGAGGATAGATGAACATTTGAAGCACTAGAAGTATTTAAGGGCTTTGCTGAAGACATGCCCAACCTCGACAGTATCTTCTGGATGTAGGTCTTCTGTGACAAGAAAAACTTTTTCTTAGACCTGTCCCTGTAAATCTCCATACCCAAGATCTTCTGAGCAGCTCCCAATACCTTCATCTCAAACTCAACAATGAGAAGCCCCTTTAACTTCTGGATATCAGACTTCTACCTCGCAGCTATGATCATATCATCCACATACAGAACAAGATAGATCATCGAACCATCCTCCACCTTGTTGTGATACACACAACAATCATATGGACTTCTGTTGTAGCCCAGATCAAGCATGTAACTGTCAAATCTCTTGTACCACTTCCTCGGAGACTGCTTAAGTCCATACAAGGACTTCTTCAGCTTACAAGCATAGTCTTCTTTTCCTAGCATACAAGGACTTTTTCAGTGAAGAGTAATCAGCAAGCTTACCATACCACACTTCATAAGGAGTCTTGCACTCGATACCTGTGTGAGGTCCACGGTTGATCAGGAAGCATGACATGTTTACTGCTTCTGCCCAGAATCTTCTCTCTAGTCCAACATTAGAGAGAATGCACCGTGCTCTCTCAAACAATGTCTGGTTCATCCTTTCTGCAATGCCATTCTGCTGAGGTGTATCTCTAACGGTCCGATGACGGGCAATCCCTTCATCCTTGCAGAATTCGTTGAACTCAGAATTGCAAAACTCCAGACCATTGTCCGTTCACAGCTTCTTTATCTTCTTCCCGGTCTGATTTTCCACCAATGTCTTCCACTGTTTGAAATTCATGAAAGCCTCACTTTTCTGCTTCATCATGAAAATCCAAGTAAATCTCAAATAATCATCAATAACAGACAAAAAATACCTGCTGCCTCCAATGGATTCAACTCGTGAAGGACCCCTATAGTCGGAGTGGAAGTAATCCAGTATCCCCTTCATCCTGTGGATACCCTTCTAGGAAAACTTGTTGCGATGTAGCTTCCCAAACACACAATGCTCACAGAACTCCAAATTCTGCACCTTGTGCCCGCAAAGAAGATCCCTCTTCGACAGAACTTGCATCTCACGTTCACTCATATGCCCTAGTCTCATGTGTAGAGAGTGGTCATATCTTCCTAATGAACCTGAGATGATGCAACTGCAGCAGAACCTGACAACACATTTCCTTGTAATGCATACAAGGTACCACGTTTCACGCCTTTCAGTACCTTCCTCGAACCCTTGCAGACATACACAACTCCACCTTTTCCTTTGAAACTAATGCCCTTGTTGTCGAGTAGACTTAAGGAGATCAGGTTCTTTGTTATTCGTGGAACATGTCTGACGTCATTCACGATACAGAACGAACCATCATGTGTCCGAACCTTTATGGACCCGATTCCAACAACCTTGCAGACAACTCCATTTGCCATGACCACGTTACCACTATCTATCTGCACGTAGGCTGTGAAACAATCTCTGTTCGAAGACATATGGTATGAGGCTGTAGTATCCAGAAACCACACATCACCAAAGCGAGATCGTCTTCAAAACTGTTGACCACTTCTGCCACGACAACTGAACCTTGGTTCTTTTGTTGCCCTCGTCTCCTAGGACAATTGTACTTCTAATGCCCCACTTCCTTACAGTTGTGACAAGCATCACCTGGCTGTGGACCAGGACCCTTGGAATTCTTGTTCGAATTCCCTTTACCAGATTTCTTCTTTCGCTTTCCACCTGTAACAGCCAAAACCGATGCCTCACCATCTGTACCAGATCCGAACGCCTTATGTCTGATCTCTCTCGTGTGAAGAGCAGACCTGACATTCTCCAACGACAAGCTATCTTTACCAGCAATAAAAGAATCCACAAAATTCTCATATGAACTCGACAAAGACATAAGAAGGATTAGGGCAACATCTTCATCATCAATTTTCACATATATATTGCGTAAATCCAACAAAATTGAATTTAGTTATTTCAGATGTTCCCTCAAAGGCGTACCTTCTTGCATCCTCAAGCTTAACAACCGCTGCTTGAGATGCAGCTTGTTGGTTAAAGACTTCGTCATATGTAGACTCTCCAGCTTCAACCACAAGCCCACGGTAGTCTTCTTAGCAACGACTTCAATGATGATGTCATCAGACAACGATAGCACGATGGTCGAGTGGGCCTTCTCCTCCAGGGTATTCCACTCATCAGTATCGATCGCTGCCTTCTTCTGTTTCGCAGACAGCGACCCCCACAATAAAGCTTGCATCTTGATCTGCCATATAGTGAAACTATTCTTTCCCGTGAACTTCTCGATCTTCATGTTCACCGACGTCGTTCTTCAGAATCGAAACCCTAGCCTGATTTCCAGCCGTTGCTATGATACAACTTGTTATAAACGCGCTGCTACGGATCGGGAAATTGCCGGAATCGAGAAAGCAAGAGTACGAAATAGAGAATCGAAAACACGACACACGATTTACGTTGTTCACTAACACGATGTGTGTTAGCTAGTCCACGGACGAGAGAAAGCCAGTTTCACTATATCGAGGAGATTACAGATTACAGAGGAGATGAGAAGTATTTATACTTCTCCATGTGGGTCTAAACCTAATCCAATATGGTA